ACGTATAGCGAACGCTTCTTTAAACAATAGGATAGACCAGTTTCGGGAGCTGTCAATAATGTTAGTACTAGAAAATATTAAACCTAATTTATTACTTACATTACAGACGACATTATCATTTTCAAGTATACCCTGTAATCCTAAAACATATTGGAATGCCTTGTTCTGAGTTATTCTCCTAATTATATATCTTTGTTTCAGACATATGGCAATCCTTCCACCGGGTTGTTCAGACCTCAACGGGTGCAAACATTTCATCAAATTGCATGCAAGAATATTCTTGCAAGTTGAAATACTTGTTGATTAAATTGCAAACTTGGGTATTTTTACAAATTGAATACTTCATAACATGAGTTACAGGTGATATGTACAGTAAATAGGTTTTCAATGAGGGTGCATAGAAAATACCAAGAATACTTGTTGCATCAATGACACACAAATTACGATGCGAGTCCAACAACTCTCAAACAATGGAGCTAACAAAACGGTTCATGAATAAAGACAAGAACAAACAAAAAAATGAATTGAAATTACCAAGTTAATTATCACACAGTTAACAAAAACTAATAATTATTTATAAGCATTTTTTTGGATAGTTCTTTGCTGATTATTGTTACAACAATGAGGAGGTGCTACACAATGCCCACTATTATGAATCGATGTTTGCCCTACCTGACGTGTTATAGTACCAAATGTTCAGTACGTTCCCAAACGTTTGCCTATTATTTCTATGGACGCTAAACACTCCATAGGAATAGCATTGCAGTACATGCTGCTACTTACGGATCGGATTAACCACTAGGCACCAAGTGCAAGCTGGGGTCGAGTGGTTAAGGTACCAGGCAAGTTATCTAGCGGTCGTTGGTTCAATTCCCACCCCAATCACTTGCGAAAATTTGGTACTGAGCATTCATTACTATAACATTGTCAGGTGGGGCAAACATCAATTCGTATTATTTCTCCTGAAGCAAAAAACACCATCAGAATGCCCACTATTACTACTAACATTTTGCTTATTATTATCAATAACTAAAAAAAAGAAAAGAGATGAAACCACATACAGTAATTATTAAGTAAAAATTATGAAAGAGAAACAAATGATGATTTTAATGCTGGTACTATTAATGATGAATGATGATAAATAATAATGTAATTGATGATAATGATTTCCAAATTTATTTTACAAATAAAATTAATTCACTAAAAACACTAGCTACCTTTAAAAAATGGAAGATGTAACAGTAAACAGATGATTAAAATAATAGATTTACGTTAAAAAAATTGCATCTAAGTACCTGGAGGTTTGACAGAGGTTGCAAATCCAGGTAGCGTCCCTACAATAAAAAAAAAACAATTGCCATATTACCTTACTTCATCAATCATAAAAAAGCGGTAGTAGTAATGTGGAACATGGCAACATATGACGTGTTATAGTACCGAATGCTCAGTACGTTTCCAAATGCTTGCATATCATTTCTTCTGACGGTCATCAGAATAGCAATGCAGTACCTACTAGCCACCAACCGCAAGCTCGGTGGTAGAGTGGTTAGACATTGGTTATCTGGAGGTCCTGGTTCCAATAACGCACTAAGCATTCATTACTATAACACATCAGGTAGGGCAAACATCAATTCAATCAAACATATTAGTCCTCATGATAGGTTTACGAAAAAATTGTATGTATAAGTACCTGAAGGTGCGACAGAGGTTTCAAGTTCAGGTGGTGACTCTACAATCATAAAAAAGAATTGGCATATTACTTTACTTCATCAATCATAAAAAAACAGTAGCAGTAATAATAATATAAAATATACAAATTCTGGAATCTGCCACTCTTCAACAATACACTTGTCTCATATATGTCATTAATTATTACTTTTTCACAAAAACAAGCAGGTTCTGATTCTTCCTCCTTACATCTCATGTGTTCTCCCTCACAAGGATCTGGAATCCTCTCACAGGGTCGTGCGAATAATCAATGTAATTTGACAGCCAAAAGAGAATTACAGAAAAGCCAACAATTAAACCTAATCTATCAAGTGGCTACCCTTTCTAACCGTGTTTTTGTTTTAAGGCCCGTTTCTGCTGGGAAAAAACTCATGTTTTTCAATAACCGTTTAAAAACACATGTTTTTTTGCTCAGCAGAAACACACCCTTTCTGTGTCATACAAAAGAGAAGATTTTATGGTTTTGAATAGTAAGTAAATTGTGCTTTTGCCAATACAGTAACTCTGTCAAGTAAATATTTAAATATTTTTGGTCTGACAACTTCAGGAGGTGTTGAATGCTTGTCCGATATGGGGGAAAGGGGAAAGTTTCCTTTCTGACACCCCTGGGTGGGAGCCCCACTTGATGTATAATATTGTCTTTACCTCTGACAATCACATCCCTTGTTGTTATATAACAATTGACAGCATTATTTGTTGAACACTGCTGCCCCTGATGTGTTGGACGTGGTTCCATCTTAAAGAACAATATATTTACCAAATCAAGTTAGTTTTTAGTTACAACTTCAATGGGGAAAAAAAAACCAAAAAATAAACCAAGATTAAAAAAATCATGAAGCTTTGTTGAACCTGCAGGAACAAAAACCCAAACCAAATAAAAAAAAATTCAAATGTCCATGTAAAACTGATTTAGTCACAATTTACCAACATGAAATAAGTCTATAGTAAATTGGGCATGATTTCCCATCATTTAATATGTAATTTTGAACAAAAATGATGGTAGATTAATAGTACTAGGCTTAATCGCTCCTGAGC